CAATACAATTTGGCTGGCAAGACGCTTAAATGTGAGTCGAGCATGTTTCTTCCGCCAAGGGACTGCCGGTTTTCTGCAATTTTGCAATATTTCAGCATAGTAAGTTCTGTGATAATTGAATCTCCACTAACGGAAGGCAAAGCCTTTCCGACCTAGGAGACATGTCAATCACGAAACGACAAAGAAACTCCTTCGCATTGTTCATAAAACCCATGTGGGCGAGATGAGAAACTCGTTAAACCAATTATCCAGGGCCCTAGCAAGAAGACGAATCACCTTACATATCATCCTATGGCTCTTCAACTCTCACTAAGCGATTTCCCTTCAAGAACAAGAATGGAGATATCTACTCTTGTGGCGTACAATCTTGGTGTTATTCCGACAAACTGAGGTATCTACCAGTTTCGACCTCATTCGAAAGGCGATGAATTTTATGTGAAAAACTTTCATGCAGAAATGCGAATCGAGATGTTCCATAAATTATTGTAAGCCTCGCAACTGGCCGAATTGAAATGGGTTCGAGCCCCTGATCTGCGTAGTGATATTACGCCATTCTAATTACTTCCCGGGCCTGAAACACATATTTACTGCGTCACAGTACACAATTCAAAACAATCGTGTTTGATTGAAATTGATAGTTCCTCAAAGTAATTACTTATAAGTATATGTATATATATATAATAATATATGTATACTAAATTGTAAATTAAACGAGCGTACGTGTCTGAAATGGGACAACGCATCGCAGTCTGTGGCTCAGACAGTTTACCAAAGCAATTGACCTTTAGTCACACTTATGTGAGAGTTATGGTATTTTATAGTGTATTTACAATTGCGAGTAAATATTGTTATTTATATTATATATATACTCATGAATGTAAATAAATTGAAGTAGATCGAAAATCGAAGTGAACTTTCTAGTGGCATATAACCATTTATTGAGTTACGCCAACGCGATCTAGAACAATAAAATATTGAAAAGATAATAAAAGTGAATTTTTACAATATATTTATTTTTTATACCTTCATGTCTAAAATAAGTATAAGGTTACCGATATGCATATACCAATACATATATTCGTATTCGTTTGAACTCTAATTTCTAAGTGAATGTGAAACTTTTAGAGTAGAGAGGCTTAAGGATGCACTTATTAAAATATTTTCGCTGTTCCTTTTAAAATGTGTTTAAGAAAGATCAAGCCAGAAGTCAAGCGAGGTCAAGCTAGAGCTAAGCGAGTCGAACTGCGGACAGTCAGCAACAAGGCACTTGGTCTCATTCTAGATATTTGTACTTAAAGATATAGGATTTCAAGCATTTTAAATGAGAAAGACTATTTGTGTTGTATTCCGATATCTTCATTGATGTTGATATTATTGTAAAGAAAATATATCGGTGTAAAATGTGTCATATGAGAGTAGGGAATTCAAACCGATTTCGCCAATTTTCAAACTGTAATATAAGATGTACGGAGATTATATATTGAAATTTTTTATTGGACAAAATTAATTTGTAACTGAATACATGGACTCTGAAATAAATTTCAAAGTTCACAAATTAGTTTTCTTTTTGATTATATACTTTCCAAACGGCATCTTCGAAATAACTTAAAATCAACTAGTCTTTAAAACAATGTTTTATATAATACCTATTGTAAGAGATGCACACTAAGCCATTTCCACTGAAGTATTTAGGAGAGACTTTAATTGACTCAAGTGAGAATATAACAATGAGATTGTAATGTTATTAAGTGTTCTCTCAGTCTCTTGTGTGCGAAAATGTATTTTAATATTTTAGAAAAACTCAAAAATTGCACACAAAATATTACCAATATACATATACAAATATCTAAAAATATTTATAATATAGTCTAGAAGAGATTTCAGTATTTTTGCGCTTGCAATTGCAAGGTTATCTTCAGCTCTGAGAAGTGGATTTGCATTTATTATTATCACTTTCTAAGAAATGCTCTAATGACATGCTGACAAAATTAATTAAATTTAAAAGTTATGAGTCTCTATGACCGCTTGATATTATTATGTTTAATTATGTTAAGCTTTTTAAGATTGTCTCTTAGGAAGTAAATACAATCACGAATATGTTTTACAAATATAAATTTATATCTCATTACTTTTTCGAGGATTACAAAATATGAATGCTCTGGAATGGATCAAATTTATTTTATACAGCTTTTAGGCAAAAGCCAATTCAGAGCTCGTAGACTACACTAGCAACATCAAAAACATTGGGTAATCATGTAATGATATGTGATAATAAATGTGCTTAGTTCTTACCTCCAAATCACTTCAATTTTAAAATTTCTGTAAATATAAATATTGATCTGCGGAAAATATATAGTTACAAGAACATGTTTAAGCTGTTGAAAAGAATGGAAAGCCAATGTTCTCTGTGATATAAGTCTGATTCTCGGTACTTAAGAAAAATAAGGTGTAGTTCAAGCTATGGAGGAGACTCTATAAATTTAGACTCTTATTGTTCAAATAAAATAAATAATTCGGAACCTACATATAGGTGACTCTTAGGCCAGAACAAGATTTGATCTCTCTCTGATTGATTGTCGAAAACATCGTGATTCACTCTTATCAACAATTTCGAGAAACTCTCACCGAGGAGAGGAATTTTATTGAAATAGGAAGCCGAAGCAAAAAGCTTTAGTACAGCATCCATCCTACAAAAAAAAAAAAAAAAAGAATCACTCTGCCATCGTCTTTTAACAAATTTGTAATATACGACGCAACCACTTGAAAGATAATGCTGCGCTATCTACGAGGCAATAAATGGACGCTAGATTTTTGTCTTACCGATTATGGTTGAGAGCGGCGTTGCTGCGACAGCAGTGGGTGTCGATTACAATGTCTACAATATGTGTTTATATGTATGTATGCGCTGCCGCAGTTCCAGCACGGCAACTACGGTTCGCTGAAAGTACAATGCCACATTGAATGCCGCGACGCCGCTGACGTTCATTGCATACCGTTAGCTGTTGCTGCACATTTCTTAGATAAGACCAAACGACTGCCAAAGTTGCGACTAAGGTCCGAGCTTATATTTAGAAGTATACACCAGGTACCAAACACAGTTCCAATAGAATTGCCGTACTAGCTCGAACCATTTCGCAAGTCAAATATCGCGCATTATTAACGTGTAATCGGGTATATAAATATTTTAATCTAGGAGGATTTAACACCCATAGACAACTGATAAGATAGAAAGGACGTAGTGTGGACAGGATGAAATTAGAAACGAAAAATGAGCCACCGCAATATTTAAATGAGCAATTTTTCAAAACCGCTTTAGAGGATGGGCTGCGTGATATGCGTGTCGATATAAAGAAAATCATATTCGCCGAATCGAACGGCGGCGGTGAGAACTATTGCAGTAAAATATATCGTGCCAAAGCTTTGTATCGGAGTAGCAAACATCAGTTGGATGAAGAGTTGGCGTTGATTGTGAAAAGTATTGCCATAACACCGGCCACACAGTTTCTGGAGGAATTAGCGGTATATTTGCGTGAAAAAATTTTCTATTTCGACGTGCTCGGACGGTTGGAAGTATTAATTGGTGATGGTGCGAAATTTGGACCAAGGTGAGTGGAACTGTTAGTTCGGGAGTGCGATATGGATTCTTAAGCAGTAATGTGGCGAAATTCCCTCAAAGACATCGCTTTGTTTTTCGACGCGCCTGAGTGTAACAGGAGATTCTAAAAATTATGAAGTTTTGAAAAAAGAGTATCCGGTTTTTTGGATGTCGAATTATAGCATAATAGCTGGAAATGATAGGACTTACGAGCGAGTAAAGATGATCACTCTTTCAAAGGCCTCTAAATCTTAGTGTGATGTGAAATCAAACCAGAACTTCCTCATGTTTCTCAGCTGTAGTGGTAGATTTTCATCAATACCAGAAAATCGATTTGTGATTTCTTTAGGATATACTTATAGTGCCATCGTTCGTTTTAGGGAATGAATACTAGAAATATAAAGGACATGATTGAAACTGTGTAAATGTGATTTCACAATAGGGCATCAGCGTGTATAACAAAACCTAACGAAAGGCCATGTTTCCTAAGAGGACCGTGTTTTTGGTGGTAAAGAGAGTACAAAGTTCTCTCTGGAGATTCATTTGCATGGCTAAATCGACTCAGCTCGTAAAGCTGATCATTTATATATTATATTATATATACCAAAACGAAAGAAAACCTCCGAGAACACAGAAGAGAAGGTACAAATTTAGGTAAAATACCATTTGTAAGAAACATTTTTTGATCAAAATTCCACGGCTTATATTACCACCGGATCTTAAATCGCACATTAGATTTAGATTTATTATTAAGATTAGATTATTACTTTTATTTTTTTAATTTTCCATATTCTTGTTGCTCTCAGTGCTGGATCAATATTTTATACAATACACCTAATTTTGAAGTAATTACTTTTAACCACTTTTAACATTTTCAGATGTTTCTACACAACTCGGGAACCCATACAGACAATAGTATTCGATGATCTCACGCAGTATGGCTATAAATTGGCAAGTCGCCAAAATGGGCTCGACGAGGAACACTGCGTGGTTATATTGAGAAAATTAGGCAAATTTCATGCGACTTCTATGGTTTTAATGGAGAAGGTTAGTACTTCAAATAATTAGTAAAATATTAATATTATTATTTTAGTTACATACATACATACATACATACATACGAGTATAGTATTCGATCATTCGCATATATACCTACTTCGCTTAGCAATAAGATTGTATGTTAAATGCAGTTTTTTTTAATACCTTATTATCTATTGCACTTGGGCGTTGTATTATGACTTAAACGGTGCGATAAGCATGCAAAAGAAATCATTAAGCGTTTATTGTTGACAATAATTGGAGGATACATACATACATACGTATGTCTGTAAGAAGCGTAAAATTTTAATTGAATTTAAGAAGTGAAAGGTAATTATTTAATTGCGTTTCATATAAATTATTTTAATAAGTCATTTCACATTTAAAGATTGCCAATAGTAGTCTTACGTTATTCTGATGCAAAAATTCTAAAAACGTTTTAGCTTTGAGGGTATATTGACAATTCTATCAGTGTCACTATCAAAATGGATCATTTTGAAGTTTTTTTTAAATGCGATTGGGGTGGTTTTTCCCACTAAAACTCAGTTCTTCTGCATTGACACATAATTTCATTTTACAGGCTAATATAAAACCCTCTCAACCAAATTCTAGTGCAGACATCACTTTAATTATGCCCTGAACAGAGTGTGTATATAAAGTTTGCCACGAAGTTTTTCACACCCACAATGAAACGTTGGAGACCTTATAAAGTACATATATAAATTATGAGCGTTCTTCTCCCCAATAAGCTGTTCATTTGTCGGAGCTGCCGATATCGGCCACTATGGCGTATAGCTGCCATAGTATGCAAACTGATCAATGAAAATCAAGATAAAATTCTTTTTATACCCTCTCATGCTATGCAAAATGTACCTGTGAAGGGTATTATAGCTTCGGTGCAGCCAATATTAACGTTTTTTCTTGTTTTATAGATAATTTTGAGGGAAATTCGATAGAACTATCACCATATACAATAGATATTTACTGTTATTTTTACCACATTACATTTTTAACTATTTTGCGCCAATTTAGGACCCCAGCGTTCGTGAACATTTCACCAGCGGCATGCTGGACGAACACTATATACGCACCAATGAGCGTTTCATCGATTTTATGTCACTTCAATTGCGCACACTCGCCGATGTCGTATCCAAGTGGCCAGGCTATGAGGCAATTGCTGTGAAATTACATCGACACTGCGATAATATTAAAGAGAACCTCGTGATAACTGGACAATCGCAATCAGGCGAACTAACTGTGCTAAATCATGGAGATTTATGGGTAAACAATTTTATGTACAAATATGATGTGCAGGTTGCAACAAAGCCCATAGATGCAATATTCGTGAGTTTTTACCAAAACATTTCGAAAAGTCATTTTTTAGTTAAAAAATTTTTTCCAGCTCGATTTCCAGAACAGCTTCTTTGGCAGTCCCGGTTGTGACATAAACTTCTTTCTGAATAGCAGCGTACAGTTGGATGTGTTAGTTAATCGCCGCGACTTCCTCATATATACCTACTATGAAGCGTTGCGGAGCTCTCTGGAACACATGCATTACGAACACATACCCACGCAGCATGACATCGAAATGGAGATCCGCGCACGCGAATTGTACGGCTTTTTTTCGTCGTATGCCTTCTTGCCAATGGTGGCGATGCGCAAAGAGGACTCTTACGATAACAGTATTGAGGCTTTAAGTAATCAGGAATTTGCGCGCAAAAAAGTACAACAAATGTTCTCCTCAAATCCAAGAACCACGAATACATTGCGTTATGCCGTCAAACGTTTTGATGATTTGGGTATATTCGATTGAAACTGGATTGTATAGCTAGATTATAAAGCAGAAAGGGCGTGACAAAGCTATTGATTTCATTTCATTTTTGGATTGCGTTCACTTTTCAACATTAATTATTTGTATTGTTTAGCTGTAGTCTACAATGTAATGCAATATTTAATAATTCAAAGAGCAAATATAGAATAGATTTGTTACTGAATTTTTATTCTCGGTTCGAAAAAAGGTTTGATTGAAAATTTTCTTTCGAACTGATAGTTTGTCATCTTGTCAAAATATTTATGAAATATTAGAAAGAGAAAATTGACGAATGACAAAACGACTTGAAGTTTGCTTGCACTTGCTCTTTCGATTCTAACATATCTAATATAAATTTTGAAGATAAAATTTGTGGAAGTTAATAGTATAATGTAATATTTCTTATGGTCCTCTAGACCAATTATTTGGAATATATTTTGAAGGTTAGAAGCTTGTGATAATAGATATGATCCAAGCCATAGAATTCCTTTTAAAGTTTCGGAGTTGAACTAGAGTTACACTAAAATTCTTAACTCCACTGACTAGCACTAATCTATACATTAGTATTACAATTTTTAACTAACTCGATAGAATAGAGTTTTAACTAATTGAATGACTAGGGTTTGAACATAACTGCAGTAACCATTAACATATAACCTCTAAACGCCAAGGATCGGTATCTTAGGGTGACTGTGCTAGGCCTGATTGGACTTTGAAAAATTTATATAACATATAACAGACTGCCTAAGCTCGCTCAAATCGATTATTACTTTAATCTATTATATATTATTTTTAATCTATTATATATGGATAAAAACTTCTTATGTGCTTCAGAAATTGGAATTTTATTTGATGCACTTTTTTAATCTATCGTTTATTAAATTATCGATAAAAAGTTTTTATGTGTCTGAGCAATTGGAATTTTACTTGATGCACGATAGATTAACGTTTATTTATCGATATTTTTTATCTGCTACATAAATTGAAGTTCGATTTAAACCACTTTTTAATGTATCGGTTATTAATTTATCGATGAAAATTTGGATTTCGGTTTAAAGCACTTTTTTTATTCTATCGATTATTAATTTATCGACAAAAAGCTTTTGTGTATTTTAGAAATTGAACTTCGGTTTGTTGGCAATGTTTTTTAAATAGTTTGATAATTTTTGAATTATATCGCGGAGCTAATAATTCGAATATTTTAAAAGAAGTATTCAAAATTAATCTACTAACCATCATAGAGAGGTTCGAGGTTAAATTTGTATGTTCTTTGACCATTCTCCTATAATATTATTCGGACGAGTGGTTTTAACTACCAAAAAAATATTTTAGCGTTTTTCAACTTTGATGTGACCAAAAGTGTTACTATACCTACTTTGCTATGTCATACTTCACCAAAATGGCAAAAAAAAATGAATCAGCCAACATGCGGCAAAAAACGGTTTAGCTATTTTATATTCGAAAATTTAGAATATTGGAATGGCAATTATGCGCTCTGCTATTTTTAACTTTATAAGGCATGTTTGCTTATTTATACATACGGCATATTCTAAATCCCATGTCAGAATTAATCTATGTGGACTCTGTTGCAATATTTTTGCACAGTTGGCAAATCCTCAATAATATGTTCTAATCCGTCCATCAATTGTTGTGTGCGTCTAATACGAAATTGTTTTTCTTTGGCGTTCAAAATACATACATACACTCGCGCATGCATATTTTCACAAGCAAATTTTTTCCGAACGCAATTCGCGAAATCTTAAGAAATTCGCCATTAAACAATGTGTGGTCTTGTCGAAATGGCTGGTTGCATGGACATTTGGACAAGCGAACGGCATGTCATGCCCAAATTATTTGGCTGTCAAATAGTGTACGGCCAAACTGTCAATTCGTTAAATGAAATTGAAAAATTAAACTCACACATACAAATGGCTGACGTGCGTAAGCGTTGATATTTGCCTAATATTGATATTCCATTTGTAAACATGTCACAGCAGCAGCGTAGCGTTTCCACAACGAAGAGGCGATGCAACGAGAAGCGTCGGCTGATGGATACGCCAATTGTCAGGGCGTTGGCAGTGGCATGAACGATTTGTACTGCAACTGTTTTGCGGTAATTCTTTTCAATTATTTTGTATTCATATTTGCACATGTTTTTATTGTTGTTGCTTGGGTGCATTTTGGCAATTGGTGGTATTTATTTGGTTGTAATGCAACACTCAACAAGCAAACAAACATTATTACAACAGCTAGTTTTGGTCTTAGCGGCCACTTTGGCCAATTCACGAATGGTTAGGTCTTAAGTTTTTGTTGAAGTTTTATATTTTCACTTTTTTGGTAATTGACTTAGCACTTATTAGGCTGTTAAGAGACCGCCCGTCCACCGGCGGATTGCGCACCAGAGACCGAGTGCCACTTTATGGCCGCTGCCATGACGAGTGCTGAGTGATGCCCGGTTTAAAGCTGGTTCTTTTAACATTTTCACGCCTTTTTAACACTTTGCCGGTGGAAGGGTGGTGTGGTAAAACACAAAGTAAGATTTATTGCTACATAAATCATGAGCCACTTAGAAGCTCAAAGTGCGCAAAACAATTTGCAAAATGCGATTGGTATGTAGCGATAAAATTACAAAAGCAAATTTGACAAATTAGCAAAAGAGTTACAAGCGAAAAGCGTGAAAAAATTTGCTGAAATATTTATACAGTAGTCAATGATAGCGACAACTTTTTTTAGTGCCTTTTTGGTCATATAAGTTCGTAGAAGAATTGGCTAGTCGCAGCTTGATATTTATTTAACAGCATTGAAATACTTTTGAAATTGATACTGTTAAACGAAGAACGAATAGTTGTCATAAAAAGTATATGGAAGGCATTTTAATAAATTTTACAAGTAGATATGAAAAATTATATATTTTTCTTCGTTACTTAGAAAACACAGGGTGGAAAGTTTTCAAAGTTAACTGTCAATTCTGCATGCTTTTTAGTTCAATATTTTGATTTTCTCCAAAATTACTGAAGTATAACAATTGTAGTCATTTAATCGCATCACTTATTTTGGATTAGTCTTATATACAGAATAGTTATATATTTATAGTATATACTACAATCCGCAACCTCAAGTGAAAATCCGCAACCTCAAGTGAAATCCACTTTTCTAGCATAGGTGTTTACAATGTAGCCTAAACCGCACTCTATCCATGCTGGTACCGATTTTATGACTAAAAGTCCTAGAGTCAGCATATAATTCCACGAGTACTTGACAAAATGTGTCTTTCTCTTTCGCTTTATCGATATAATGAACGCCAGTATAACTCGATTTGAGCATTAAAGTCGATGAGTTCAAAATACCAGATCACAAAAAGTTTCGGTGTTACTTTCGATATCCTGCTGTTATTTTCTCAATATTCGAAATTTATAATCACAGCTAGACTCCCGTCTTTACGGAAAAGATAAAGAAAATTTGTTGTAACGGCGCTTTCAACAAAAATATTGCAGTTTGAACTGTATTAAACTGCCTCTTGGCCACTCTTAACATTTATTTAGACAGATTGTATGATCTCTATTAAGCAGTATAGCATCTAACTATTTTCAGCGAATACATTTTCAATTTGCTTGAAAATCCCACCTCCCAAAATTATCAATAAATTATGTAGCAGGTAACTGTAACTCTTTGATTTTTTGTTGGATGAAATTAGTAGACAATTCACAGAGAATTTCCGCATAAAAAGTTTTCGACGCGAAACCAAGCAAAATTTTGAACAACTCTCATCTTTTTAAGCGTTGCCAAACAACAGTCGCTTCTTTGTTAGTATGAACTGTCACGCAAGGCAGGGAAAGTTGTATGTGAATGGGCCTTAAGTGGTTGCTGAAGTAACCAGGCGATTAAAGAGACATGTAAGTAGATACATAAAGGAAACTCATTATATTGGTATCAAGTTTGTTATATGGCCACGCTTATACATATACAGACAGCAGACGGACATGGTCGACGCAGCTCGTCACGCTGATCATTTATATGCATATTTTATATTAACCCCGATGTTTCCTTCTACGTGTTACAAAAATCGTGGCAAACTTAATATATTCTATTCAAGGCATAAAAATGTAGGCAATGAATAACGGATGACAAAACTAGAGTTTTGAGTTATATAAGCCCGCGGCAGATTAACACAAATACCTTAAAAATACCACGTCTAAATTTGCTAGTTACTCTTTATTTATTTTGTCCTTTAAAATTTAAAAAAACTGACGCTACTCTAAAATTTTTCTTTGTAAGTATTGTTCAACGCCTTATTTTGCGGTAAGGTTTCACTATTAAAGGGATTAAGTTATTCAGTTTAGCCTAAGCAGTTTTTTGAAAACTGAGTTAATTTAGAGTTTTGGAATTATTGCAAATGTATACTAATAATTATGGATAGTCTAAGGTCATGCCTTTCAGGTTTGCGTATTTTCCAGGTGTAAAATCTCTCAGTTACGTTTTTAGTAAAAGAAAAATGGGTTTTTCACGCCCGTAATTTTTAATACAAAAAAGATCCCTTCTATTAAGTAAAAATATTTCCAATATTTTAAAAATTTCTCTGACTTTTTTTCTTCTAAATTTTGAGATAGTTTAACAAAAATTATTCAAATATTAAAACTGTTTCTTGAGGAATTGTTCAGTCCCTACTTTTTACTTACTTAAAATAAAAATTTTTCCGTTCAGCGCCTAAATGCCTTTCTATTAAAGCTGAAATATGTATAATAACAANCACTCAACAAGCAAACAAACATTATTACAACAGCTAGTTTTGGTCTTAGCGGCCACTTTGGCCAATTCACGAATGGTTAGGTCTTAAGTTTTTGTTGAAGTTTTATATTTTCACTTTTTTGGTAATTGACTTAGCACTTATTAGGCTGTTAAGAGACCGCCCGTCCACCGGCGGATTGCGCACCAGAGACCGAGTGCCACTTTATGGCCGCTGCCATGACGAGTGCTGAGTGATGCCCGGTTTAAAGCTGGTTCTTTTAACATTTTCACGCCTTTTTAACACTTTGCCGGTGGAAGGGTGGTGTGGTAAAACACAAAGTAAGATTTATTGCTACATAAATCATGAGCCACTTAGAAGCTCAAAGTGCGCAAAACAATTTGCAAAATGCGATTGGTATGTAGCGATAAAATTACAAAAGCAAATTTGACAAATTAGCA